TGCCTTAAAGAACAGAACTCTCTCAGTTTGCCAGGCTAGTAGATTGGTTGTACAGTGAACCCTCGCCACTTCGCGCTTCGACTTCCGCGGCTTCACTCTATCACGGTTTTTGCGTAACAGCACCCACTGCCTACACCCACTCCTTCAGAGGAAAAAGACGGCGACCCACCTGTAGAGTACATCCCTTAAGTCATTTCATAGGCTATTACAGCATTTGTAAGAACTATGTATAATAATACTGTATGTGAAATATGTAATACTGTAAACTAGATGCCATAAATAACATAATAAATAATAAATGATAATTGTAACGTCCAAAATGTTTTACTGTATTTTCCCTTTTTCGTTTAATAAATTGGGTAATACGAGTGTAATGGTGACTAAAGGGTGTTTTTTCATGTCCTCTATGCTCTAACTATGAAAATATTTGATTTACAAATAAGGAATCCTACTTCGCGGAATTTCATTTATCACGGTAGGGTCTAGAACCGATTAACCGCGATAAACAAGGGTTCACTGTAATCTGTGTCACTTCCTTCTGAGGGCTCTCATAGAGGAATTGTTCATGCCTTTCTCCTAGTTGATTCCTACTTGAAATACTTGGAATTTCTTTGCTGCTTGTAGATAGATGCATGGTGTCATCTTCATGCCTTAACTTTGCCTCTTTCCAGTGTATGTACCCCCTCTCATAAGACAATACTCAGAAATGAGTAAAACGCACCTTATTCCTATATGACTTTGTTTACTTGTTGCATGTACAAAGAAAAACCCTGTCTCTCTAAATACGGGGGCATTCACAGGTACAAGGATTGGACCTTAAGCACAGTATATAGAGGAACATAGTACATTATGGGAAACATCAAAATATCTGCCTCATTTGTTTTATTTTGAGAAGTTTCCAAATTTCTGATGTTTTAAGCACGTTAGTTTAGATGGAACTTATAAGGAAATCAGAAGCTGGTTAGCTCCTTGTTTGTTTATATTTTGGGGTTTCTATTTTGGGACACTTGCTATGATTTTGCTATGGCATTTTTAGTGGGTACCATTATTAGATTTAAAATATGTTGAACTAGCTGCATGAGCTGTCGTTTTATTATAACTTTGCTTGCCTGGAAAGATGAGGTTGTTAGGTGCTATTGAGTTGGCTCTGACGCATAGCAACCCTATGCATAACAGAACAAAACACTGCATAGCCCTGCACCATCCTCACAATTGTTTCTATGCTTGAGCCCGTCGTTGCAGCTACTGTGGCAGTCCGTTTCGTTGCTGGTGCCCTCTCTTTTGCTGCCCCTCTACATTATTAAGCATAATCCCCTTCTCTAGGCACCAACTGGTGTCTCCTGACAAAATGTTCGATGTATGTAAGATGAAATCTTGCCATCCTTGCCTCTGAGGAACACTGTCCATACTTTTTCCAAGACAGATTTGTCTATCCAATTAGTAGTCCCTGGTACTTTCAATATCCTTCTCTAGTATCATAATTCAAATACATCAATTTTTTTTCAGTCTTATTATGAGGAGATTGAAAATATTATGGCTTGGGTCAGGTGCACCTTATTCCTCAAAATAACATTCTTGCTTTTCAATAAGCATTCACACAAAGAGATCTTGTGTGTCCCAATGCAATGATTTCTTGATTGCTGCTTCTGTGAGCATTGATTGTGGGTCCAAGCAAGCCAAAATCCTCAACAACTTCAACCTTTTTCTTTATCATGATGCTGTGTATTTGTCCAGTTGTTAGGGCTTTGGTATTTGGTTGGAATCCATAGTCCTCCTCACTTTCAGCAAGCAAAGTTGCATCATCTGCATATTGCAGGTTGTTAATAAGCTTTCCTTCAATCTTGATTCCACCTTCTTTATATAGTCTGGCTTCTCTGATGATTTGCTCAGGTTGAACAAGTATGGTGAGAGGATACAATCCTGACACATACTTTTCTTGACTTTAAACCATACAGTATTTCCTCATTCTGTTGGCACAATTGCATCTTGGTCCATGTACAAGTTCCATGTGAGCACAAGGAAGTGTTATGGAATTAATTCTCTTTCTTATTAGGCTATCTGTAGTTTGTTATGATCCACACAGTTGAATGCCTATGTGTAGTCAATAAAAAAACACAAGTAAACGTCATTTTGGTATCCTCTGCTTTGAGTCAAGATCCATGTAACATCAGCAATGATATTCCTTGTTCCATTTCCTCTTTTGAATCTGGTCTGAACTTCTGGCAAATACAGTTCCTTCATCTGTACTGCTGCAACCATTGTTGGATCATCTTCAGCAAAATTTTACTTGCATGGTGATATTACTGATTGATATGTAATTTGAGCATTCGAGTGGAATGAGCACAAATACCGATCTCTTCCAGTCATTTGGCTAAATAGCTGGCTTCCAAATTTCTTGTCGTCGACGAGTAAGTGCTTCTGGTGCTTTATCCGCTTATTGAAACATTTCAGTTGGTAGTCCATCATTTCCTGAGCTTTGTTTATGGCTAATGCTTTCAGTGTTGCTTGAACTTCTTTTTCAGCACCTGGTTCCTGCTCTTAAAGTCACCTCTTGAAACGGTTAAATGTCAAGTACCGTATATACTCATGTATAAGCAGAGTTTTTTTCAGCACGTTTTTAGTGCAATTTTTGTGGTAAAATTAGGTGCCTCAGCTGATATTCAGGTCGGCTTATACTCGAGTGTATATGGTAGTTCTTTTTGGTACAGTGACTGTGTATTCTTTCCATCTTCTTTTGATGTATCTTGCATTATTCATTATCTTGTTCCTGGAATCTTGCAGTATTACAACTAGGGGTTTGAGTTTTTTCTTGAGTTCTTTCATATTAATATTTAGCAAGCATGTTTGTCCTTTTTGTATTTCTAACTGTAGGTCTTTACACATTTCATTATAATATTTGATTTTGTCTTCTCAAACTGCCCGTTGTCATTTTCTACTCAGCTTTTTGACTTCATTTCTTCCTTTTGCTTTATCTGCTCTTTGATTAAGAACAAGTTTCAGTCTCTTTTGACATCACTTTCATCTTTTGTCTTTCTTATCTTTGTAATTACTTTTTGCTTTCTTCATGAATGATGTCCTTGATATCCTCCCACAGCTCATCATGATTTCTGTCATTAGAGTTCACGAAGCAAATTTCACAAGATGTTCTAGAAATTCAGGTGGGTTAAACTAAAGGTTGTATTTTGTCTTGTGTGGACTTGTTTTAATTTTCAGTTTCAATCTAAACTTCTGTCTGAGCAGTTGGTAGTCTGCTAGTTTTTCGGTAGTCTCTTCCCACAGGCGTTGTCAGTTTGGCCTCTGTGTTTTACATCTGTAGAAATCCATGTGTATAGTCATCATTTGTGGTGCTGAAAAAAGGTATCTACTATGAACAAGTTGGAACTCCAGCATCGTTCCTGTTAACAAGACCTTATTTTTCAACTACAATTCCTTCCTCTGTTTCCAACTTTTGCATTCCAATTGCCAGTAATTATCAATACATCTTGATTGCATGTTTCTTTAATTTCTTCATCACTCTCTTTGGTTGGTCCATACATTTGAATAATAGTTGTATTGATTGGATTTCATTGAATGTGGATAGATAATAATCCTATCACAGACAGCATATACTTCCAGTTAGATCTTAAAATGACCTTTTTGACAATGAATTTGTCATTCTGGGATTGAAAAGATATGGACTGTGATAAATAATGTTCATGCCATTCAAAAGTATGACTGCTATAGAAAACATAACATCCTTTCAGTAGACTTATGGCATACCACAATGGTTAATAGTATTTACTCTTTGAAATCTTGTATACTTTGGCCAAAACTTGTTTGTGGCTGAATAAAGATGGGAGTCTTTTTATTTTTAAGCAAATAAAATTTTTCAGAGTCCAGATGACATAAATCATTAACCACTCAGTTGCAAACTAAAAGGTTGATGGTTCAAGTCCACCAAGAGACACCTCAGGACACTAGGCCTGGCATTTAGTTTCGGTGGGGGGGATGAGTGGGGTGGCATGGATATCAGCCATTGGGAGCACTGTGGAGTACAATTCTACTCTGACATACCTGCAGTTTTCATTAGTTGGAGTCGAATCTATACCAACTTGACTGTTTTTTTCCTGCTTTCATGCCCTGGGTAAGCCTGCAAACAGGAATTAAATCATCCTATACTTGTAGAATATTTTAGGGATTTGAAAAGGGGTTAATTAAATCGTAATAAAATTTCTGCCTGGTTGTTGGGGAGTATATAATTTCATGATATTGATAAAGATAATCTGACATAATGTTAAACTAGTATCTTCCTTTTTCTGTACAATTTACTTCTATTACCATTTTGCACTGCTTTTATAAAGGATTCATAGTAACATAGTGGGTTATGTATTGGGCTGCTAATCACAGGTCAATAGTTTGAAGCTTCCAGCCACTTCATGAGAGTAAGATTAGGCTTTATATTCCCATAAAGACTTACAGCCTCGGGAACTCTCTGGGGCAATTCTACCCTGTCCTATAGTGTTGCTATGAGTCTGAATTGATTTAATGGCAGTTAGTATATTTATAAAGAAGGGAAATACTAAAATTAGGAAATAAAAGCGCCATTATGAAATTGAATAGTTTTTATTATAAAGTCATGTATTTTTTATTATAAATATTTTGGGGGTTTAGTTTTATCAATATATTGTAACTTAATGTAGCTTTGATTTCTTAGTAAGGAATTAGGTTTAGTCAGGAGAACTTGCATACTTAATAAAGGCATTGAAATGAAGACTATTAATTTTTTTCCCCTTAAATCCCAGCTAGTGAGGTTCCTAATGTTCTTTTCTAGTACTGTATGTTTTCTGTATACCTAATTTTATACTTCCTTTAGTTTTTATATCTTTATTAAATCCAACATTAAGTTTTTAAGCTTGTGAAGTAGTATAGTTGGAGATAATTTGATTTGGTTTCATAAAATAAATAGATCCAATTTTAGAAACACACACAATTTAATTAAAACAATTTTTTTTTCTTTGCAGTTCATCCTGAGCAGCTTCCTCCGAGGCCATGGATTACATTAAAAGAACGAGACCAAATTCTGCCCTCAGGTAAATGAGTTTTTCTTTTTAGTGGTTTTCAGAAGTATTTGAAATGCCATTTAAACTTTGTGACATATAATTAAAACAGACCTTTCTTTACACTTGCACTGGTACATGAGTGTTAAAAATACTAATGGGTATACCAAAAAACATTCATACTATCATAAGCTTATGTACAAGTTCTTATATCTTAACAATACAGCACTTGGTTTTAGAATTATTTCTGTAATATACCTTTCTAGATGTCATGTACAACTAGAGTCCACACAGGACATTGGTGGACTTAAGGAAAATGAGTAATAATATTTTAAACAGCTTGGGTATTTTATTGACTGATAGCATTCTTTCAGTGGAAGAATGATTAAACCGGTCATAGCTGTGGGTTAACCATTGAGCTGCTCCAACTGTAATGTTGACAGTTTGAACCCACCAGCTGTTCCATGAGAGAAAGATGAAACTGCTCCCCTGAAGATTTACAGACTCTGAAGCCCTAAGGAGCTGCTGCGTCTTACTAATACGGTCATTCTGAGTTGGCATTGACTCCATGGCTATGGGATCACTTGTGTGCACGCTCTCCCTTCCTCCCTCTGTCTTTCTCCCCCTTTCCACACCCCACTCCCTCTCTTTTAGAAATGCTACAGGGTGAGTATTTGAAAAATTTAAGGGCTTATCATTTCTAGAACTGTAGTAATCTAGAAAATATAAACCTTTATCTCTTTCTTGATACATATTTTTTGACATTGCAGGACTTCCTATTAACATGTTAGACATTTTAGGATTGGGGATTCTGCTTTATATATATTGCTATGAATTAATACTTAACCAAGTGCCTTTTCTTCTTTTTTAAATCACAAGAGTAGTACATTTTCATGATACCTAATTTAATTTTTAAATTAACAAATAAAAATATCACCCTTATGAAGGTTAAATTAATCATAAAATACTATTTCAATGATTTTTAGCATAAGTTGAAGTTCTTAGAATAACTCCTTCATTTTCCCTTTTTAAAAGTAAGGTTCAGTTAAATTTAAATGAGGGGTAATTTGTTTTGTTATTAGGATAATGTTGGGTTTGAAAGCCTGGGAAGTGTAACATTCTGTTTATATTTTACAAACATTAAGTATTGTAGTATACAGTACTCTCTTGTGTCTGTCACTAAAACAGCAAACCCATTGCCATCGAATCAGTTCTGGCTCATAGCAGCCCTATCACAGGGTTTCCTAGGCTTTACATTTTATGGGAATAGACAGCCTCATCTTTCTTCCTTGGAATAGCTGGTGGGTGTGAACTGCTGACTGTGGGGGTCTGCAGTTCAGTGCTTCCAGAGCTTTGCTACCAGAGGTGATAATTGTAAACTATAGAGCCACAGCATCAGCCTGATATAACAGACACTGTTAGTTTTATCATAAATATTATCAGGATTCAGTTAATAGGTTTTATATGGATGCTTTGAGCAAAATATGTGGAAAGCTAAGGTTTTTAATAAAGTCTTATGTCAGGTAGACTTATTTTATACTTGACTTTCCCTGTAATGTGTAATTATTTTCTTTCTGACATTAAAGATCATTTTCTCATTTTCAAAGTAATCCCCTTTGAAAAGTGGGAGTAAGCATATTTTTGAAAAAAGGCTTTCTTAATTTTGCACAACCATATTTCTATGAAAAGGAACAACATTTTTTTAAGAATAGTTTTATTGGGGGCTGTTAGACCTCTTATAACAATCCCCACATCAATTGTATCAAGCACATTTATACATATGTTACTGGCATCATTTTCAAAACATTTTCTTTCTACATGAGCCCAACAAAATTTTTTTATTTAATTGCCCAAAGCTGAAAATAGATACTTTTCTTTGTTAAAAACTGTTCTGGAGTTTTCTTGGAATATATGTATGATGCTTTCCTAAGTAAACTCTTGAATGCTGTAAAAGTAGAGGGATATTTTTAAATGCCTTTTAACTACATTTTGGGATGTGTATGATAACTGGCCACAGTTAAGGGGCCATAATGATAATTAAGCCATGTAAGAATCAAAGCCAAGATAATGAAAATATACTATAATATGTAAACAGAGTATAGGAGATTAGTGATGAAAGTGACTTAATTTATTTCCATCTGTTTAAAAATTGCTAGTTCAATTTTGGATGTTGGCACTAGTATAAAGAGTTTTTAACATACATCTAAGGAGGCTTCAAAATATTTGGGATAATTCAATTCTTTTATTTCCATTTATTTCCACAAGCTTTTTGAAGCCTCATTATAGCTTTTAGTCATGGTGCTATGATTAAAAGTTCAACTGCTAACCAAAAGGCTGGAGGTTTACTCTTACCAGCCAGTCTGGGAGAAAGATGGGGCAGTCTTTTTGTAAAGATTATGGAAAGCAAACTCTATTGGATAGTTCTATTCTGTCCTGCAAGGTTACTATGAATCACAGTTGAATTGACACAACAGTTTGGTTTGGGGCTGCTGCTTGGTAGATATCATAAAATAGTAATTTCTGGCCCTTTGTGGAATATCTTATTTCACAAAATCTTAAATAAAACTGAATGAGGATAATAAGGTAATACAAATTAGCTCAAATTGAAATAATTCCCCAAATGATCATTGATCAATCATTAAACCCTCAGATGATCACTATACTAAGTAAGTTTTTCCTACTACTATTATTTGAAAATGAACTGACCCCAATCAAATATTATTTTACCTTGATTTTCTCACAGTTTATCTCAATATGTGATTGCTAATCATGTGTGTTCATTGTAATAATTTGAGATGCGTGTTAAATAAGAGTGCCCTAATATTAGTGCCCTAATATTCTGACTTTGGTATACCTGGTTGGTGAAAATGGTTAATTTGCTCTGCAGCCGACCATAAGGTTGAGTGCACCCAGAGACCTCTTAGAAGAAAGGCCTGACCAATGTAATACCAAAAAGCCTTTGACAATCCTATATACCACAGTTCAATTCTTTTCTGACACACACGAGGTTGCAATGAGTCAGAATGAAGTCAACGGTAACTGTTTTTTTTTTAACTTTAATTTGGTTATATGAACTTTTTATTTTTAAAGTTCTATGTGAAGTGATTCTGATGAACAGCCAGGAATGAGAATCCAGTCGCGCGTATAAATGACTTCAGGATTCAAGTAATTGGCAGATTTGAGTCATAGGTCTTAGGGCTGAGGCGCTGTGTATTTCTAACAAGTTCCCAATTGGTAGCTCATAGTATTGATCCTTACAGGACCCTTTGAATAGAAATGGTCTTCTACTACCTGTATTAAGTTTGTGCACAATCTTGCTACAGCCCAAGGGCATTAAAAATGAAATAAAAAATTCAAATTGATTTTGTGAGAAAGGAAATTTGCTTATTATTAAGATTTGTTAGTTTTCACTCTAATCAAGACATCAGTGATAGACACTCCTAAAAAATTTTAAGTATGGATATTTACATTACCCCTCAAACTAATGAAGTATTAGTCTTTAGTCAGGGTGAAGCGGAAATTTACTTTTGTTTCATTTACAGAGAATCTTTACATAGTAAATTACATGCAAAGAATCACCATTCTGACAAAATTTGGATTGTTTTTTTGGATTATTTTTTATTAAAAATCCTGAAAATTTAAAATACAGATTGCTTTGAAAAAAGTTGCCTAATTTTCTCCCTTTTGTCTGCTATTTTTTTCTCCCACTTCTTAGCATCATTCACGGTTATGTGTTACAATGTGTTATGTGATAAATACGCTACGCGGCAGCTATATGGCTATTGCCCATCCTGGGCATTAAACTGGGAATACAGGAAAAAGGGAATTATGGAAGAAATTGTTAACTGTGACGCAGATATCATTAGTCTTCAGGTAACACTATAGAAATTAAATTGGTTTTTAAACTTAAAAGGTAAACTTAATAAATCTTGCCTTTGGGTGAGATTACTGTATTCAAAGCAAAATCTAAAAGTTGTTATTTCTCTCTTCTTAAAAGAAAAAAAAAGACAACTTTAATAAGCATTTAAAATATTCTTATAGTAAAACTTCTGAATACGACCATTCGTTTAAATTCATTCACTATTTTCTTAAGTGAAAATGAATAATAATCGTATTTATTATCCATGTTAGCAGTTCACTTCATGAACAAATCATGGTTTTGACAAAGGAGAAAACTAGTTGGTTGTTAGCCCTAGCCTTTTGAAGTAGCATGTTAATTTATAGTGGCATCTAAAGAAAAAGTGCTTGTACACAGTTGTTACTTAAATATAAATATTTCAAATATTGATAATACTGCATTATAAACTGTCCATTTTTTATCTTATTCTAAATAACACTGAAATTTAGACTCTTACCATTTTTGACACTTTATAATGAATTTAACTGAAAAAGAAACACCTTTCCATGAAATACAAGTTTTATGCTTTTTATAGGAAGGCCTTAGTAATTTTTCTCCTAGCATCTTTGAAAGCATATTGTTTAAATGTGCTTCAGCATTTTGAAATGTTACAATCTCATACATTTGTTTTTAACAAAGCCTGAGATGTATTCTATTTTTTTTCTACTAGAGTAGCTTGATAATTTATTATGTTGTCTGTGATTCACATGATTTCCTGAGGAATAACAAGAGGTAAAAAGTTTCATAAATTAACCTTTCTTTGAATAATTTACTGATAGTGGGAAGGAAGAAGAAGGCAAAACCAAAATTAGATTGTTACAGTTATTTCACAGTTGTGCTTTATTCGTAGTATTTAGAAAGCATAGCTTAAAAAAATTATTTTAAAACTTTTTTTTCTTTTAAAAGTATTCTGGAGAAGTCAAATGTTTGAAAAAATTAAATCATGATTAGGGAAACACCTAATTCCGTATCTCAGAGGTATTTGTTGTGTTAAAGTGTTAGGTCTATTTTTTTTAGACTTTTTTCTATTTTCTTACCTCTGCTTACAGATAAATTATAAAATAAATTGGGATTACACTTTCATATATGATTTTTGTTTATTCACTAGTACACTTACTGTGTTATTAAAGTTCTTAATAAATTTTTCTATTTTAATTGTAGCCTTGTACCTACTGTTGGGCTGCTTAAAAGTTTTTGCTATTATAAAATCTCTTAAGAGACTCTTCAAACATAAATAATTATCTTCATATTTGATTATTTCATTTGGAAAGATTTTTTAAAATGTTATATGATTCAAAAAGTCTCATGTGAAAATTGCTAAATTAGCTAAGACTAAGAATAATTGATATCAGGTGCCTAAAAATTAGAGTATAATTACTTAATATAGAAATACTATTAATCTTATCTTTATCCTACTTTGGTATCATTCTTTTCACCAAGATTGAGGAGAATAAATAATTTAAAAATTACTTATTTATATATAATATTTACTATTTCTATTACCTATTTACTAGCAACAGTTGTGAGGGTGGCACAGGATCAGGTAGTGTTTCATTCTGTTGTCGGTAGGGTCACTGTGAGTTGGAATCCACTTGACAATCATTACCTAACAAGAACAACAGCTTCCACTTAATCCCATTTGTAACCAGCTTTGAGGAAACGAACTATAGTGAAATGAACTTTAAATTGGTTATAAAGAAAGGGGAGATGTAGTCCTATACCTATTAGTAGGTGTGTGAGCCTGAGAATCAAATCTCCTTGCTGATTCATTCTGCTTTGCAAAGCGGCCATTGTCAAGTGGCAGTTACTAACAATTGGATAGAAAATACTTGTTAATGTGAATTATTTTGACTTAAACATATCTTAGCCATGATGCTCAGATATTATATCTTAACCAGGCTTTCCTCTGTCATGTGGATGATAACTTTTCTTTTGTCTCAGGAAGTGGAAACAGAGCAATATTTCACTCTCTTTCTGCCAGCATTGAAGGAGCGTGGATATGATGGATTTTTTTCTCCAAAGTCACGTGCCAAAATCATGTCTGAGCAGGAGAGAAAGCATGTGGACGGTTGTGCAATATTCTTCAAAACAGAAAAGTGAGTTAAGGAAAGAAGTATAAAGATTTTAAGTAGCACACATTTAAAGTTGTCTTTAGCTTGCTAAGCTAGTAAACACCTGACATATGAAGCTAAATATTTTATTTCTTAGACTATTATTGGAAACTATTTTTTTACTCTTTATGCTTTCATTTTAAAAGCACACTAAAAATTATAGGACACAAAGACCTAATTATGATATTTTGATCTTATTTATTTATTTATTAATCATTTTATTAGGGGCTCATACAACTCTTATCACAATCCATACATACATCAATTGTGTAAAGCACATTTGTACATTCTTTGCCCTCATCATTCTCAAAAGATATTTTGATCATATTTATATTTCCAAAAATGTTTTCATAAACTATAACAATTTGTTTTGGAAAAGTCAGTGGTGCTTTTAAGATTAGAAATAAGTGATCCAAGATTCTTTATTTTTTGTTTTCATATTTGGACTCTTTTCAGAATCATTCACTTCATAAACCATTTATCTTTTATAATTAATCATTAATTCACTAAATATTTAATGAGCATTTGCTCTGTGACAAGTGCATTTTTGTCAACCTATTTCTCTTCTCTGTAGTCCTTTGTAATTTTAGTGTTCTCTCTTGTTGGCTTTGTTATGTCTTGTGTTGCTCTGCCTCTCTGTCCTCTCTTACTGGATTAGGAACTTCATTTTCTTCTAGATGGGGCAGTGCTGTAGCATACTCAAGAGTTGACCCTGATTGCTGCCTGAGTGATCAAGGGGCAGATTGTTCTGGTTATCCTTTTGAAGAAAAGAGAATAGCATGTTTCTGCCAACTGATTTTAGAGGAGAAAATTGGTAGAAACCTCTAAAAGAAGATTGACAGAAGTGGAGAAATCTGGTAGAATTCAATTCCATGGTTATTCATTTGGGATTGCTACATTAGATAAGAAATTGCATATTTACTCAATAGGTTATTTATTCTTATCATAACTTCTCCATTTAACACCTATTACAACAAAGCTGTTTAATATTTTTATTGATAAAGGCATGTTACCTAGGAACCCTAGTAGCATAGTAGTTAAGAGTTGGGTTGCTACCTGACTGCAAGGTCAGTAGTTCAAAACCACCAGCTGCTGTCGGAGAAAGATGAGGCATTCTATTTCCTTAAAGATTTATAGTCTCCAAAACCCACAGGGGCAGTTCTACTCTGTCCTTTGAGTCAGAATTGACTTAGTGGCAGTGAGTAAGATATGTTACCACCCTGGTATAAGCAAACCGAATCTTATGAATAGGACTTGGGTCACTTCTCATTTATTTATACTTACTATCCTATCTTTTTTATGAATTTCCAGCAGAGCTGTTCTCATATTGGTTAATAATCACTACCCTATAATAACTTGAATTCAGAGTGTACTAAATTCTCCTATTGGCTTGGAAATTTAAAAATTAATTATAGAATAATTGGTTTTATTAGCCATATCCTAACTCCTTATACATAACATTTACTTTTTATTTTTTAACAACTCTCATGTATTTCTTCATTTTTATAGAGTAAGACTTAGGCATAGTTTAAGTAATTTGCCTAAGGTTACACAGGAGTCCAACTTCATAGCTCATACTTTTATCCATTCTACTAAGCTGAATCTCTAGGCTTTTAGGTTGAACTTCTGATATTACTGTACATCTTATGCAGTAACCTCATTTTAGGAAAGTTGCATTGAATTTGTCATTTGTTCCTGTATTTATACATAAATATTCTTGAAAATGTCATCATTTTGAAAGCACGTTAAAAACATTGAGACAGCATGGAATTCTTTTTACATTTGCCATTATTTCTGAAGGAATACGAAAGATTTATATCATGCTCCTCATTGTTTTCTCTGAACCATGAGGAGAAATTCTCTGAAAGTTTACCAGAGGTTTTTAATGTTTTGAATGTACCATTATAACTCTTAACTACAAATCCTTAAACACTATTTGAAAAATTGATTTTGAATGAATTTCAGATATGTAATATTTGACAAAATGATTCTTGAATTATTTAAAATGCTGTGAACTAGTTAAGAGATGAAAATATAGAGTACAGTAGAACCCCGGACTTTGATGCTAATCTGTTCTAGAAGGAGTGTTGAGCTGTGATGCAGTCGAGTTCCGAATAAATTTTTTCCATAAGAAATAACCGAATGCTCCTGTTTTCCCATGTTGTATAAACCTTTTGCCTTTTAGTAGGGACTTTCATGGATACGTTCATACATACATAATTTTGTGAGCCGTCTGCAAAGGGCTCCCTGAAAAAACCCCAAAACAACAAAAAACGGATTAATTCGTTCTCAATCCCTAAATTTTTGCCCTAACCTTAAAGCCTTTGTATACAAAACATTACATAGAAATTTCAAAGTAAATAAGTTTGGAGTTAAATAATATAGTTTAAATAAGAAACACAACATTAAAAACGTTTTTAACAACTACAATATGGCCCATACCCTGAGATGGATGAGGATCTGTAACTGTGGACACGGATGTGGAGAGGAGCTGTGGAGAGAGAGTTGTTGGGAAGGGGAATCAATCCCCTTCCATAAAACCAACTGGTAGCTGCTTTTCAGGAGTTTTTTTTCCCTCTTCTTTGCCTTTTTTTCACTAGGACCTGGCTGGCTTTCTCTAATGGGTGTGCTGTTGGCTTTTCCTTAGCTGTTTTCTAAAAGGGTTTACTAAATTAACATCAACAATATCGATAACACACTGAACCAGTTCCTTATCTTGATGACTTTTTCAAAAAACCTTTCTAAAGACCTATGCTTTTTATCTGAAAACAGTGCAAAAACGAAAATTAAGAGCAAAACGCTTGGAATATAACTGTAAAAGGTTTAAACAACACATACATGCTAACACCACCAACTAACGCCGAGTTACCGAAACATGAACTACTTTTGTTTACAAAAATCATATATGTTGGGTTGAATTCCGATGTTTTATTTGAGATCCGATAGAAAATTTTCTTGATATTTCGCATCTAAGTCCGATTATTTTTGAGTACTGATGCGGTCGAGTACTAGGGTTCTACTGTACATCACTGGATTTCTACCCTTCCTCAACTCCTTTTTTCCTGAATATTATGGAATCAGCCACAGATGAAGACTGAGTGTAACACAATAATCCTACATTGTATTCCTTCTAAACTTTCCCCCCTGCATTGCAGGGCTCTACCTAGTAGATAGATTGAAAACCACCCTCTGTCCAGGGTGAAGTATTTACTCATAGCATATTTGGCAACTGTCTAATGCTAAAGTATTTGGAATCATCTTCCTTTATTCTGTTCTCTTTTCTTTAGATTGGATAGATAATATGGTACAAAGATCAAACTGAGACGCCAGGGAGTTCTTTACTTATATTATCTGGACTGTGTCACTTACCCTTTTGTGGTTAGTTCATCATTAGTTTGTCTGTTCTTTGTACGAGCATTTCATCTAAAATAGTCATGGAATTTCCAGGGCTATAAAGTTTTCTAGAAATAGATTGCCATAAAATTCTCCCATTGAGTGGCTGGTAGGTTTATGCTGCTCAATTTTTGGTTGGCTGCCTAGGACTTTAACCACAGCACAACCAGGACTCCTCATGAGTTGTGATCAACACCAGTAGGATTGGTTTCTTTTTTAATACAACTTCAATTTTGCTTTCATAATCTCCGTTAAGGAGAAATATCCTCAAAATGGGAAGACTAATAATAAGTCAGCTGAAGAAGAAATTTGGTAAGCCAACAAGAATGACTATTTTAAGCAGTTAGAGTTCTAAGTTAAGATGAATATGTCTTGTATTAAAAGATCTCTAAAAAATGTGATTAGAGAACTGGTATAAGAATTGGGTTCTTGAAGTTTTAGCATAGTAAGGGAAGAAAAACTTTCTCAGCTCCTGGCCACAGTTTCCTCATCTGTATGAGTATATTGACCATCATTATCATAAATTTTCTGTTTATTATAACAAAGCTATTTAATATTTTTATTGATAGAGACACATTATCAAGGAGCCCTGGTGGCCCTTGGTAAAATGGAGCCATAATACCTCTGGTTGTAATTTAAATTCTCTAAAAGAAAGATTCTGAGTTAGAGTTTGGTATTAGAAGTTTATTAGAGATTAATTCGCTACTATGAAGGAAGGGGGGAAAACAAACAGTGGGAGCCTCAGATGACCCCCACAGAAAGGAGCTCACTTTCTGTAGTTAAAAATGTCTGTGTGAAAGTTAACCTGTAGTGGACCCAAATAAAAAGACACATGAAAAAACACACTGTCATTAGTGGAGTGTGTCAAATGTGAATCAAAGAAAAATGAATTCTTGAAAAATGTAAGCATTCTTGGGCTGAATGGACTGGTTATTGGCTATTTTGGTTTGAAAGTTTTATTATTTTATATTTTTCAATTGGCCATTTTAATCAATCATATGAGCTACAATGCCAAGAATGACAAAGAGGAACAGTGTCATGTCACCAAAAAACAAAACAAAACAAAACATTTTAAGATCTATTCTGAAGTACCACTTCAGAATACTAACTACCAGTGCAAAAGATATAGAACTTCAAGGTTTTTACCCATTTTTGAAGTCTGAAATTGAGGAAGCATGCAATCAAGATACATTGTTAATTCTGGTGTTTGGAATATAAAAATTGGGAGCGGAGAAAGAGGAACAATACTTGGAAAATAAAGCCTTGTTGATAAACGTGACTAGGATCACATGATAGAACTTTACAAGACCAATGACTTATTTATTGGAAATAGCCATTTTCAACATTAACAGTAGTTATTCACATGACCCTCACTAAGTCGAGTAAATAGTAACCAAATTGACTACATCTTTGGGAAAAGATGGTGGAGAGGTGCAATATAATCCGAATGAGGTCAGGCTGTCTGCATAACTGTATCAGTTGCTCATTTGCAAGTTCACGGTGAAGCTGAAGAAACCATAAACCCACAAGGGCGGGAATGTGGCCTTGAGTATAACCCATCTGGATTTAGAGACCGTCTCAACAGATTTGAAGCACTTGGCACTAGTGACCAAAGACCAGATAAATTGTAGTATGACGTCAGAGATATCATTCACAAAGAAAGGAAATGGGCATTAGAAAGACCAAGAAAAGGTCAAAATTGATGTCAGAATAGACTCTGAACTTGCTTTTGAATGTAGAGCAAAGAAAAAGTAAGAAATGATGAAGTAAGAAAAACTACACAGAAGATTTCAAAGGGTGATTTGAGGAAACAAATACTGTAATGAAACGTGGAAAGACTTGAAGTTAGAAAATCAAAAGGAAGAACATGCTCAGCATTTAAGTTGAAAGAAAAATATTCAAGGCTCGAGTTGCTACATTGAAGGATTCTGAGCAAAATGAAGCCCTAGTAGCATAGTGGGTTAAAGATTGAGCTGCAAACCACAAGGTTAACAGTTCAAAGCCCCCTCCTGTTTCACCAGGTTGTCTCTCTTGTAAAGATTTTCAGCTTCAGAGTCCACCATGTAGAACAATTCTACTCTGTTCTATAGGGTTGCTGTGAGTTAGAATTGACTCATTGGCAGTTGAGTTGTGTGGGAAGGGCAAAATACTGATTGTTGTAGGAAGCATCAAAAGATCACTGTACCAAAAAGATTTGGTCTACATTCCATTTCAAGAGGATATGATTAAAAATTGAAGATACTGAAGGAAGAAGTTGAAGCTAGACTGAAAGCATTAACCACAAAAAATAAATAAACAAAAAAACCAAACAAACCCTCATGGCTTCAGAAATTGATAGTTGTATCGATTGAAATTATTTGACAAACAGATGGCAATATCTGTGCCAAGAAATTTGGCACAACTGGTTGGAAGGAAGAAGACAATAGTTCACTGAGGAAATGACCCTCTGGTTTCTGCAGGGAGAAAGAGAATACAGTTCCACAGTGGTCAGATATGACTCCACTCTCAGTTCTATTCTGACACCAACTCCTCCCTCCCCCTTTAAAACTTCTCTGGTGGTTTTTATAATTCATTGTAGTGGGCCCTCGGAACTCATAGCCAAAATACAGGATTATGGGGGCTTATTAAGGAAACTAACAGGTTACACAATGGTAAGGATACAGTTCTTTTGTTATCAGCACCTCTTCTCAGCCATGCTGGCACACCTGTCTCTCTGGTCCTTGGCTTATCAGCCATGAAGTTCCTTGGTCTCTGTCTGCTCTGTCTCATAGTTATCCTTAAAGGTTGACTTTTGTCCATTTGCTTTTTCCTGGGCGATCATTATTCATCCAGGCAGTAGCTGGAAGGAGCAAAGGTATGAAAGGGTGAAAGAGATATACCATATTTGCTACATATAGCTTACCAGAAAGTTTTGACATTAATCAGCCTGTCTCACTGGCCTGAAGTGTATTGCATGGTCTCTTGTAGGAAGAAAAGAAGGACTAGGGAGACAATGCTTTGTGTGCATCATGTACCCTTCATTTAATTCCTTTCAACATGATAATTTACCTAAAGTGATAATAATGAATTGTACTTTTAGATTTACATTGGTGCAGAAGCATACAGTGGAATTTAACCAAGTAGCAATGGCTAATTCAGATGGATCCGAAGCTATGCTGAACAGAGTAATGACAAAAGATAACATTGGTGTTGCTGTGGTATTAGAGGTCCACAAAGAACTCTTTGGAGCAGGTAAGTGCAATTTAAAATATTCTTAAAAATAAACACCATTGACAATTTTCCCATCTGTAAGCAAGTGGAGAGGATCTTACTATTATTTATTGCATAGTTATTTTCCTGTCTTGCCTTTTGACGAAAGTTATGGGAGATGGGTAAGAAAATAGCACTAATTGCTATGTAAAGGACCAAAAATGTCTTGGGAAATTAACAGGTATTCTGTATAAAGGAAGATTTGTTAATATGCCATTAATTGGAAAAACTGTCTTGAAGTAGCAAATGCTTTTATTAGGCCGAGTTTAGAAATTATGAGACCTGATTGTTTTTCTAGCCAGACTTTTAACTTCTTTAGTGGATTTTTGGTCTTCCAGGGCATGTTTTTGTCTGATTTGTTATATTTCAGTCATTGTCAAGTAGGATTGTACCTGGTACTTTTCTTTAGTATTTAGATTATTTATAGCTTCCTTCAGAGTCAGCATTCTTTGTATTTCCCAGGCCTCTCATTTTCTCTGTTTGCTTTTGAGCACTTAATTTTTTATTTATACATTTTAGGCAAGATGAAGGAGAAGGTTTCAGACCACATTAATCCCTAGCTATACCCTCAAACTTAATAACATCAAAATATTTTTGATAAGAAAATGGATAAAAATTATTCTTATCATTTATATCTGTTAAACCTATTTTTCTTGCTGTTCTTCAGTTTATCAGTATCAAAGACAGGTTTTCACAAAGGATTTTGAATTCTTTCCTCTTTTTCATTTTTATCTACTTTATGGTCTTTCAATTTCATCCTTCTTTAAAAATTGGCATGGCCCCCCCCACCCCCGGAATTGAGTTTCTTTGGGAATTTTACAGTCCTTTGAATTTGATTATATATTGAACATTTCTTCTATAGCCAAAAGTGACATAATAATATACAGAAAAAGAAGATAGCTTAGAAAACATTAGCTACGAAATTTTCTTAGGATTAAATTGCTTTGGAAAGTGATTTTTTCTGCCACGTGTGACAGTTATTTCAGTTGCTTGTTTTCTCAGCATGATAGATAATTGTAATTTGGTAAGATTAGAAGGAAACTTACTTGTGCCAAAATGTAGACAAAAATTAAACCCTTTTTGACAGCACTGGGGCCACAGCTTGGGGAGAGGGACGTGTCAGATTAGAGCACACAGGAGAAATGCAAAGGGATGGAGAGGGAGGAGAGGACATCCTGGTCCACCAAGCCTCAAGGACGATGTGTCTGCTCAGAGCAGACAGTGCATGGGAAAGGACCGTAGGGCTGGCCCCACCATGGGACACGTCATTCCTCACTGAACCATGATGCTGTTGGGGACAGCCCTGGAGATACAGTGCGGGAATAGTGCACGTTCTGGCCCCATCACACGGGGGTGAGGCACCGAGGGCATGCGGCAGGGGGAGCAGATTGATGAAACCCCTGGGGAATACCAAAATAGACTTTGGAGATAGTGTGGCACCCCATCAGACTCGTCTGGAAAACACTCACAAAGGCCAACAAACAGACCTTGAACTATTTATAGGCTTTTCCATTTTTGTCAGTGGCTTTCTTTTTATTATTATTTTGTTTTTTTGTTGTTATTGTTTTGTTGGTTTTGACTTCCTTTGTTGTTTTATTTGGCTTTGCCTGGTTTTTGCACTTATTATCTGCATGTCTATCTAAATAATCTATCTAGATAAGATAGGATAAACAATTCGGGAATGAAAAGAATGGGACCAATGGTTCTGGGGGGATATGGGAGAAGGGGAGGTGGTAGAAAGGAAGGGGGGGAAGACCAACCCAGGGACAAGGGGACAACAAGTAAACTAAAATCAATGGAAGGAAGGTCATAGGATGCCTAGTGGGACTCAATCAAGGGCAATATAGCTGCAAGGAATTACTAAACCCGAATGAAGGCTGAACATGATGGTGGGATAAGAGGGAAGTAAAAAGGAAATAGAGAAAAGAACCAGGAGGCAACAGACATTTATAGAGGCCTAAATACAGGCATGCACATACATAAATAAATATATATAAAATGAGGGGAATAGAACTATGCACTCATATCTATATGTTAAGAATTAAGGTTGCAGATGGACATTGGGCCTCAACTCAAGTACTCCATTAACACAAGAACACTTTGTTCTAATGATCCGGCATTCTGTGATGCTCACCTTCCCAGCACAATCACTGAAGACAAATTAGGTGCATAAACAAATGTATTGAAGAAAGCAGATGGTGCCCGGCTATCAAAAGATGTAGTGTCTGGGGTCTTAAAGCACTGAAGATAAACCAGCGGCCATCTAGCTCAGAAGCAACAAAGCCCACATGGAAGAAGCACACAAGCCTGTGTGATCATGAGGTGTCAATGGGATCAGCTATCAGGCATCTAAGACCCAGAATAAAACCATACTCAAGGTGAATTGGGCAGGGGTAGGGGGGCATCGGGTGGAGACCCAATGCCTATCTGTAGACAATTGGACATCCCCTCACAGAGGGGTCATAGGGAAGAGATGAGCCAGTCATGGTGCAGTATAGCATTGATAAAACACACAACTTTCCTCTAGCTCTTTGGTGCTTCCTTCACCCCACTATCATGACCTCAATTCTACCTTACAAATCAGATTAGACCAGAACATGCACAGTGCTACAGATTAAGAGCCTGCAACACAGGGAATCCAGGATAGATAGACCCCCTCAGGGACAACAAGGAGAGTAGAGATACTAGGAGGATTAGGGGAGGAAGGGGGAATCGAACACAAGGATCAATCTAGAACACCCTCTCAGGGGGACGAATAATGGAAAAGTGGGTGAGGGGTGAGAGGACAATGTAAGATGGAAAAACTAATCTATAACTTATCAAGGGTTCGTGAGGGAGGGTGGGCTGGGGAGGGAGCGGGAAGCAATGGGGAGTTGATATCGGGCTCAAGTGGGAAGAGAATGCTTTGAAAACGATGATGGCGGTATATATGCAAATGTGCCTGACACATTGGAGGAATGTATGGATTGTGATAGATGTAGGAGCCCTAATAAAAGTATTTTTTTAAATTAAAGCTCTTTTCTTAAGAGTTTATATTTTAATGGCAGAATTAAACCTTTTACAGACATTTCAGTCAGTAGAAATTTTTGTATGTTTAGTAATTCCAACTATTAAAGTGCAAAAAATGGAAAGTGTGAGTACTCTCATCTCATTCACAGCCCTAGGGATTAAGTCATTACTGTGTATAGTTTCAATCTTAGAGGTAGATAGAAGGGTAAGTCAAAAAGTATTGCAACAAAATCAAAGAGCTTTATTTTTTTTTTTTTTATTTTTTTCAAAGAGCTTTATAAACCATCAAAATGTAAAGCTGTTGTTTCTCCAGATAGTTTCCATCTTGCCTATACACTTCTGAAGAAAGTGTTTCCATCTCTCTTATCCCTTCCCTGATTTACACCTAGAGGAAACCCTGGTGGTGTATAGCGGTGTTATGCGTAGGGCTACAATCTACATGGTCAGAATTCAAAACCACCAGCATCTCCAAGGTAGAAAGAAAGACCGGGCTTTCTACTCCCGTAAATAATTACAGTCTCAAAACGCAAGGCGTGGGGGTTGGGGGTCACTGTGAGTCAGCATTGACTTGATAGCAGTGAATTTTATGGTTGGATCTACATGAAAGGGCAATTAAGGCATCCCTGAGGGACTCAAATCAATGTTCCTCTTTAGTGCTCTTTGAGTTCTGGGAACAAAAAGTGTACAGACATAGAGGGCAAGATAAAAGCTGTAGTGTGGGATGGGAAAAGGTTTTCCAAGGAAATGTTTAGAGGACAACTCTTGCAAATCTTGAGGAGTGAAATTGTGATGGAAAAAGATTCCTTAATGCATCTTTCTTGCTTTTTTTCTTCCAAATGTAATTTCCATTTTTCTTATCACTTCTTTATAATAAACCCCTGCAATTGATCTAGGTCCTTTAAAACTTTTTATCTAGATTACTCTTTTGGAACCCCAGAAAACTGTTACTATAACCTTCTGAGCTGACTTCACTGCCTTGAATTTAACTGGCCTAGGGGATTTCCTTGGAAGATTGGTTTTATCGGTCCTTACTCTCAGAATATTGGTCATTATTAAATCTATAAAATTGTCTTCATTAGCTTTGATGTTACTTAAGATACTGATGGATACATCTACCCATTGATCTTGTTTTAAGTTCCCTTGAACCAAAAACTTGTTGAAGCCAAGATGCTCTCTGAGAATTGAAAATGACAAAATGTGTGCGATTCCAATTTAAGGAGTTACCACAGTAGTGCTAATTACATGGTGTTCTTCCAGCAGTCTCTGGACTTCAACCACAGCCTTTACTTATTGAGGTTGACAGTGCTTTCCTCCTGGCTCATCTTTGAAGTCTTTCAGATCATCCTTAAAATATTTGACCCATCTAAAACTTCCTATTTTCTGTGGGGCAGCATCTCTGTAAACTTACTGCTAAGCTTCAATGATTTAGAAAAGTGGCCACTTTAAAAAGAGATAATTAGCAAAATTATTAGCAAAAATGTGTCAGCCTTCCAAATAGTTATTTTTCCCATAGCACAAAAAGTACATATTTTTTAAGGTACCATAACAAGACTATGAAGATCAAGGATTGCAGTCGTCAGTAGAGATTACAGCTCTGTCAAGAAATGAAAAATCCTCACAACTGGACCAATAGATAACATCATGATAGAGATAAGATAGAAGTTGTAAAGGATTTCATCTTGCTTAGATAAAATTAGTGCTTATGGAAGCAGAAGTTAAGAGATTAAAGGATGTATTGCACTGGATAAATCTGTTACACAAGATCTTTATGAAGTGTTGAAAAGCAAGAATGTTACTTTGAGGACTAAGGTGTGCCTAAGCCAAGCCATAGGATTGTTGCTTCCTGTGCTTGTGAAAGTTGGACATGGAATAAGGAAGACCGAAGAAGAATCTATGCATTTGAATTATGGTGCTGAAGAAAGTACCATGGACTGCCAAAAGAATCAACACATTTGTCTTGAAAGAAGTATGGCCATAGTACTCCTTAGCGGCAAGGACTTTGCTCACAATACTTTGAACGTATCAGGAGAGATCAGTCCCTGGACAAGAATATCATGCTTGGTTGGTAAAGTAGAAGGCAGGTAGTCAAAAAGAAGACTCTTGACAAGATGATTGACACAATCACTGTAACAATGGGTTCAAACATAAGAGTAATTGTGGGAGTGGCGAAAGACTGGGCTGTGTTTTGTTCTGTTGTACACAGGGTCTTGATGGGCTGGAACATATTCGACAGCACCTAAGAACAACGTGAGTTGGAATCAACTCCATGACAGCGAGTCTGTTTGGGTTTGAACCCTGACTCTTCCCCCAAAAATCCTGTGACAGAGACTGTATATGGTGAGAATGGTGATGCAATGTGAGAAAAATTGTTGTCATTAAATTGTACATGTGGAAACTGTTAAATGAGTATGGTCCGCTGTGTATATTTTCACCAAAAATAAAATATAGCCACTCCTTGCTTAGTGATATAGTTAACTTTCAAAGACCAGGATATTACTCGAGAATTGGCTTTATGTGAAAAATGAAGGTTGATCATATTATATCACAAAATGGAGGATAAGTACATCATCATCTAATTGCCAAACCACTCAGGTTCAGCACCCAGCCATATTGACATACTCTTAACTATCACAGCCAGCATTACTTTGTCTTTGTACCCAGGTGTTTTTTTCCTTTACTGTTAGACATATGTTAATGCACAAAATAGTTAGTAGGTTTTTACAATGGTTATAGATATGACATGCTGAATTATAAAATAGTCGGTAAGTGAAGATTAAATGTAAATATTAAAACAAAAACAAAACAACTAATGTAGAGGAGTATTTCTCACCAGGATCTCAGTACATACTTCAGCCTTTAAGAAGTACTTTGTTAAATAAATGTAAATTCATGGAAAAGAATAAAGATGGGACTGTGAACCTTTGGGGGAAGAAATCCATTCTACTTTTCTTGGCACCTAAAGTGTAACTGTATCCTCCTCTTTCTAATGTTTAAACTTAGGTATGAAGCCTATTCATGCTGCAGACAAACAGCTGCTTATCGTGGCAAATGCCCACATGCATTGGGACCCAGAGTATTCTGATGTGAAACTTATCCAGACCATGATGTTTGTCTCAGAGGTTAAGAACATTCTGGAAAAAGCCTCTAGTAGGCCTGGCAGTCCAACTGCAGATCCTAATTCCATCCCGCTGGTGCTATGTGCGGATCTTAACTCATTGCCAGATTCAGGTATTTATAATATTTTCTCTTTGCTTTTAGTTAGTGAGTCAGCTAAATCATAACTTTTAAGTATTGGATTTCTCTTCTGAATTAAAGAATGTATTAGAATTATAGGGATGGGAATTGGAGTAATTTCAAGGAGTTTTAAAAGAAGTTTTGTCTAAGTTGTGGACAGGGTTAAAGGAAACCAACAACGAAATATGAAATATTCTGCAGTAGAAGAGCTAGGGGCCCTTTATTACTTCTATGCCTAGGAGCTGTGTCTCTGAATTGTGGGATGTAGACCACTCTTGGCAAGCCGGCAAAATCTCCAGTGAGTGCTGTCATTGACCAAACCCAACTGGGAGATTAAGTCACTAGAAGGAAGCTGGAAGGCAGATTTGTAGTCGATATGGGACAAGCAGAAAATACTCAGCACAGGTGATTTCTAGTTTAATGACATTAGTACTTTTAAGTGAATTCACAAAAAATAATTGAATCTTGATATTAGATGCAAGGCGTGATTACAAGTCTCCTAGGATTTCACACTTAACTACTTTTGCCCTCATTTATATAACTTTTGAACCCACTGTTGTCTAGTTGATTCTGACTCATAGAATCATAGGATTCCCTGTAGAAAATAATAAACTCATCTATCAGATGTTCAAGGCAGTAATCTTTATGGAAACAGATGGCCACATCTGTGCGGAGTAGCTGTGGAGTACTGGGTTTGAATTACCAGTCTTTTGGTAAGTAGGTGAGAGCTTTAACTTATGCTCCACCAGTGCTCCTCTTGTGTCACGTAAAACTTTTAAAAACATCAAATGTAAAGCATTTGAAAGTTTTCTTTTTTTCTGTTGCAAGGCATAGTCTAAATTTTGTATATTATCACTTAAGCTTTTAAAGTGTAATTAAAATAATAAATATAAGCCAACTCTGATGTTGACAATAGGAATATTTATAAAAGTTAAAAATATCCTTTCCTTTTCCTCTGTAGCAAATATATGCTGAAATTATCCTTTACAAATGTCTGTCTTCATCTCTGACACAGCCTAGTTGGCACTTTAACCATATTCTCTTTTCGTAAGATTTTGAGATTTTTTTCTCCCTGAGTTTAATTGTCCTCAACTATAAGAAGTTTTTCTCCTATCTCATATGATCTGTTTAAGCATATTTGGCACTACAGCATAGAGTTGACTCTACAGCTAGACCCTCAAGACTGGATCTTGATTCTGTCACTTTCTAACTATGCATCTGTGATAAAATTCCTCACTTGTAATAAGGACACAATAGCCGTATTCATCTTATAGAGTTGTTTGTGAAGTTTGTTTCTAAAGCACATTAGAGCATGCCAGACATAGTATTGTAGATACTAGATAAATGATAGTGCCTTCTGACCCATTCACAATAGTGGGGATGACTAATTTCCCACATGACTAATCATAATAAATGTTGTGACACTTTCCCCCTTGTTTGTTTATTCAATGAAAGCAGTGAACTTAAAAACAAACAAAAAAAACTTGTTCTGTCGTCTTTAGACAGAGCTAATATTTTTGTTCAATTGGAATACTTTTATGGTGTAATGTTCTTTCTGGTGTCTGAAGTGAAATCTTATTCAGGTTCAAAATAATGATGTTGCTTAGCTTATACTAAAGTTGAGATTTTAAAGATAGAAAACCTATATTTGTTATAACTGATTTTTAAAATGTATGCTATATTTTACACATTCCCAAAGTTGATTGACAGCTTATTACAGGGAAGTGTAGTGACTTGGAACAATATTCTAAACATATTTAAAACTAAAGACTTACCTGGTGAATGCCACCCTATGTCCAGTAAATTACCTGTAACCTGAAGAACCATTAAAAAAATGGAGAAAATTCTTGTGTGATCTTGACACTTTAAAATAGGCAAATAACTTCCCTCCTATTAGGTTGAACCATATAAAGTTGCTGAGATTCCATTGTTTTTAACAAGAAATAAAAGTTTATTTGACTCAGCTTATTAAAACCATCTGATCCAGTTCCTGACAATGGTTCTTAGGCTTTTATAAGGACTCAATGCTTAATGGTAGTATTCCTTTCTTCTTTACTTCACTAGGTGTTGTAGAATACTTAAGCAATGGAGGAGTAGCTGACAACCATAAAGACTTCAAGGAACTAAGGTATAATGAATGTCTTATGAACTTCAGCTGCAATGGAAAGAATGGAAGCTCAGAAGGGAGAATCACACATGGCTTCCAACTTAAGAGCGCCTATGAAACTAACTTGATGCCTTACACCAATTACACCTTTGATTTTAAAGTGAGTGGCAGCCTCGGGGCTGATGTAGAAATTATTTGAAATATAAGTATGGGATAAGAAAAGTAAAAATGTTTCATTTTTATTTACATAATCAGGAATTTTTAGATTCTCAAAACATTAAGTTTAAGTATGGACCTAAGCATAAGGAAGTTTGTTGGACTTTGTGATTATTGTTGTTTTGTTGGGAATTCTTTTTGAACACCTGTTTGCATAATTTCAATAACAGTGACAATAGTAAAAACATCTAAAATGCTTACTGTATATGCCAAGTACTATTCAAAGCATTTTATGCATATCAGTATAGTAAATCCTTACCTGTCCATACCACTTCTAACTTTCAATGGGGACCCAAATATGGCTAGCTTTACTTTGAATGTTTGTAGTATTCCTTCAACATTTTTCTTATGAAAATGTTTCCACTGATCTCATTTATCTTTATTTATCTTTATTTTTGTCCAGGTTTCTTTTGTGGATGGGTCTAGAGAGGGTTATATATGAGATCCAATTATTTATTTAATTTAATTTATCTTTCTATCTATCTATTTATTTATTTATTTATAAGGCTTCACATTTATAGAAACATTTTACATTTTACAATATACATACCTTTACCTTAAATATGTATTTTAGGTTCTTTTTAAAAAAATAGTTAAGTCATTTTATAGGGGGCTTGTACAACTCATCACAATCCACACATACATCCATTGTGTCAAGCACTTTTGTATATTTGTTTCCCTCATCATTCTCAAAACATTTTCTGCGTTGTCTAATAACTTAACTTCTAGAATTCTTCATTAGTAAAATTCAAGTCCTGAATTTTTTCTTGAGATTTTTCAGCTGAGAAATGCTAGGCATGTTCGTCTTTCTTGATTTTTTAACTCCAAGTTTTTGTACATTTCATTATAGTTCTGTTTACTTTGTCTTCTTGAGCTGCCCTTTGACATTTTCTTTTCAACTCTTTTACTTCATCATTTCTTCCATTTGCTTTAGCCACTCTATTTAAAAGAACGTTTTAAGAGTCTCTTCTGACATACATTTTGGTCTTTGCTGCTTTTTGTGTTTTTTAATGACCTTTGGTTTCTTCATGTATGATGTTCTTGATATGATCCCACCGCTCCCCTGGTACTTGGGTACTAGTGCTCAATGCTTTAAATCTGCTCCTTGGAGATGGTCTTTAAATTCAGGTGGACTATGCTCCAGGACAGTTTGGCTCTTGTGGAATTTTCTTCAGCTTTAACTTGAACTGGCATGAGAGCAATTGATGATCTGATTTTCCACAATTGGCCTCTGGCCTTGTTCTGATTAATGATAGGGAGTGTCTCTCCTCTCTTCACAAATACAATGAATTTGTCCTGTGTCTTCCGTCCATGCGTATAGTTGCCATTTATGTTTCATAAAAGGTATTTGCAATTTGTAAATTACAGGTCTTGCAAAATTCCAAAATGTGATCGCTAACTTTGTTTCTGTCATTAATGCCATATCTTCTGATCACACTGATCCTTCCAATCATCAGTAATTAGCAGTGCATGTTGATTATGTGTTTGTTAAATTTCAGACTGTAGAAGTTAATGAAAAACTTAAATTTATTTTTGGTATTAATAGTTGATGCATAAATTTGAATAATAATTAAGTGATCTTTCTTGTAGGTGTATGAATATATCCTATCACTGTCAGCGCTGTATTTCAGGATAAATCTTGAAATATTCTTTTAACAATTAATATGACACTATTCTTCTTCAATTGTATTTCTGGTGTAGTAGACCATGTAATGATTGTCTGGTTCAAAATAGCCAACATTAGTTCATTTCAGCTCATTAATGCCTAGGATATTGATCGTCAAACATTCCATTACATTTTTGACAACTTCTGGTTTTCCTTGATTCAAAGTTCATGCATTCCGTGAACCTATTATAATGAAGTGCTTACAGCTATTTCTTCCCATTTTGAGTCATGCTAAAAGATATAAAATTCTACTGCTGTTGAATCAATTCAGACCCATAGCGACCTTATATAGGATTTTTAAGACTGAAAATACACTGTTTTTAAGACTCTACACATAGTAACCTGACCTTGCAGCCCACTCACTGACATGTTGGTTTTGACTCCTAGCAGACTTGTACAGGGTTTCTTACCCTTGGGTTAGATGTCTAATGCTTATCAGTCAGTGCCACCAAAGTTCTTCTAAATTGTACCAGTGGATATTTTAAATTATGTTTATTTGGGCCCAAGAGTAAGATAGAGATGTAGAAGAAGCTAGTATTTAGAACTGAGGGATAAAGAGTTGGGAGAATTACTCCTTTCCTTATGTTACTTGTGGACCAGGTTAAGTTGGATAATCAGATTAAATCAAATTATTCAAAATTTTTCCTACTTCTCCTTAAAGGGGTGTGCCTGAATCATTTAATAAAAGCGGACAGACGACTTTTCCTTTCTCTCTCACATGATCAGATTTGTATTATGATTTTCTTACATTGTTTTAGAAAACAAAGTTTAGCATAAAGCTAGTTGGTGTCAGTTTTCATTGTGTCTTTACTGTTTTCTCATATAGCTCGATACACTTCCTAATGATTGTCTTTATTAATATAAAATTGTCATTTCTATATTACCATACTTTTAAAACGAAAATGCTTGAATTAAAAAGGTTAAGAAACAATCGCCCATATCCTTCTATATGAATATGATAAAAGAGGCCTTCATCAAAGCACACCAGCCCGTGTGTCACGAGGTGTCGATGGGATTAGGGATCAGGCATCAAAGACCCAGAACACAAAATCACATCATTGTGAATAAGGAGGAGTGTGGAGTGGAGACCCAAAGCCCATCTGTAGACAATTGGACATCTGCTTACCAGAAGGGTCACAAGGACGAGATGAACCAGTCAGGGTGCAGTATAGCATTGCTGAAATGTACAACTTTCCTCTAGTTCTTTAATGCTTTTTCCTCCCTTCCCCCTCTCCCCTACTATCATGATCCCAATTCTACTTTATAAATCTGACACTAGACTAGAGCGTGGACATGGGTACACATAAGAGCTGGAAACACAGGGAACCCAGGACAGATTAAACCTTTCAGGACTGATATTGAGAGTAGCGATACCAGGAGGGTAAGGGGAATATGGGAGGAGAAAGTGAGAACCAATTAAAATGATCTATGTATAACCTCCTTCCAGGGGGATGGACAACAGAAAAGTGGGTGAAGGGAGACATTGGTCAGTATAAGGCATGAAAAAATAATAATAATTTATAAATTATCAAGGGTTCATGAAGTAGGGTGGGGAAGGGGAAGGAGGGAAAAAATGAGGAGTGATACTAAGGGCTGAAGTAGAAAAAATGGTGTGAAAATGATGATGGCAACAAATCTACAAAGGTGCTTGACACAATGGATGGATGGATTGTGATAAGAGTTGTATGAGCCCCCAATAAAATTATTTTTGAAAAAGAGGGCTTCTCCACAAATGCTTATGTGCAAATAATGGGCAAGTTCACAGAACTTGCTAAATAAAGAATTTGAGAACAGCCCTTACTATGTGGGCATTTTAAACCAGAAAAATAGATGCCTTTCAATTATTACATTTTAATTTCTGGAGTATTTAACATCTTTCTTTGGGACCTCTATTTGAAAAGCGTTTTATAATTCTAGCAGCTGATGTGCATGGTGACAATTTCAGAAATTGAATAGATATAGGAGTGTTATTTAGCATAAGTTATTGAGAATATTTTGTTTGTGTTATGTTGAAGCAAAGGGTAAGTCATCTGACCTCATTCACTTCTTCAAAAGTGTTACTGCAAAAATAGGCATTAGCTAAAATGAAACCTTATGATCATATCATTTCTTGAGTATTAAAACTATTGGATGGAATTTATTATATTTTAATTATAAATAGATACTTCTAGAATGTGGAAATATTACTTCATACTCTTGATTTGGAGAGGAATTAACCCAAATTAACCAAATTGCCATCAGGTTGATCCTTATTCATTAGTGATCCTATACAGTATAGGAGTTCCAACACTGTAAATATTTATGACAGCAGAAAACCTCATTTTTCTCATGAGGAACAATGGGTAGATTTCAACCACCAACCTTGTGGTTAGCAGTATTTTACTTTTCTTTCCATATATACCTGAGACAATGGTACATAAAAGTACACTGGTTTTGAGACTTACTAGTCACACAGGATCATCAAACTCTGAGAGATACATCTGATATTTATGAGTCCCTACTGAATGCTTTTTGCTAAAGTGTCCAGAATTTACAGTATCAGTGAAAGTTAATACTCTGAACTGAAAACCAGCCAATAGAACAATCTCATATATGGTTTTTTTATACGAATTTAGCAAGTCTGAGAAGTTGAACAGGGATTAGCACATCTGAAGACATGGCTTACCATGACTTGTATCAGACACTTTCATATATCTTTATACACAAATAATTGGAACAATTCTTATTTACAATTCTACTTATATAACTTGTTATACCTTTTTATTAAGAATATAAATATCTCACTCGCTGCCACTGAGTCAGTTCTGACTCATAGCGACCTTATAGTACAGGATAGAATTGCCTGGGGTTTCTGAGAGCATAACTCCCACAAGGGAGTAGAAAGCGTCATCTTTCTCCATGGTTTTGAACTGCTCATCTTGCAGTTAACAGCCCAACACATAACCACTGTGACACCAGGGCTCCTACAGATGTTTATATAGTCTTATTTTTAATGTATTGTAACTGAGTAGTATAATTTTCATCATACTTACATTGATTTCACTACAGCAGGTCAGTTCTGAGGATGCTTCAATACAGTGTGATGTACTTGACTTCTCAATGTGTCATTTATGCATGAATGCAGGGCTTGGGGTGGGATGCTTTCTATAGAGTCACCTTTATTTCAAGTTATATGAAGGCTTGAGTCCTTTATGATAAATTATTAAGTTAGATTACTTAGATAATTGGCTTTTAAAAATTGTTTTTAAAAAATGTATTTTGAATTGGTTCTTTATTCTAAAGTGTATATTTTTTCTTTCTTTCCCAATTCCAACCCCAATCTCTTTCTAGGGTGTGATTGACTACATTTTCTATTCCAAGACTCATATGAACGTGCTTGGTGTCCTGGGGCCTTTAGATCCTCAATGGCTGGTTGAGAACAACATCACTGGGTGTCCACACCCACACATCCCTTCAGACCACTTCTCACTGTTAACACAACTTGAACTCCACCCTCCACTCCTGCCTCTTGTCAATGGTGTTCATCTGCCTAATAGGAGGTAGTGGAGTACTGCCCCTCCAAGACGGGGATCTGTTGCTATGGACCTGTACAGTTGTAAATCAGAGTCTGTAGGAGTGAAGTATGGCCATCCTTAAAGCTGCTGCTTCAGGTTCCTTTCATTATGTGTTTGCTCTACGATTTTGTGCATTTTTTGTGCATATTGGTATCATTTGGCACTAGGGTTGGAACCAAAGTATTACTCTTTTCCAAATTTTTAATTTACCATGTTTTTAAATTAGTCCTTTTTCATAATATGAGTCCACATTCTTAACTGATAAAATGCCAGTTAGAGATCCAACAACAGTGTATTTGTTTTTCCAAAACTGATATTTTCTTTGGGATGGGTTCACATGAGCTAACCATTTTTGTAAAAGGCAATTTAAAAAAAATTTATAAAGTTTTAAAGTGATTGATGTCATGCTTTTCAGTGAAAACTGCCTTGAACTTCTGTTTTCCTGTGTTACATTATTTTTGTGTTCCCAATTATTTGCACATTAAGAAAGCACTTAAATTTGTCCCATCTGTGTATAAACATGATATAGCCTCTAGCCATAATAAGAAAAAGTGAGAAAATAAAGATGGTTGCACAATATGCTTTCATAATCAAGCATTTAACAGCACATAACAGCTTGTCGGGTAAACACTTTTCTGCTCTTACTAGTTTTGTTTTTGAGGAAGTGCTCTGGGTTTTTGGCTCCCTGTCAAGTTGGTTATAACTTGATTAGAAATATATATTCTAAGCCTGTCTCTCCCAGTTGTTTATGGGAAACAGAAAGTAATTTGTACTGCCACACATTTTGAAAACGGAGTTTGATTTGTTTAAGATGACCCCCAAATTAATGTCCGGTATTTTCTGACCCAATTCACCTTTCTTTCTGGTTTGGCTGGAAGAACTGATAGCGTGTGCTCTGTATCATTTCTACTGTTACAGTCAAATGTTAAGTAATCTGAATAGGAAGGCCCTGATTATAGTTTTCGGAGGGGAAAGCCATACAAATATTTTAAGTGTTTCTCAAATAGGTTGGTGACTGTTGGTCTTTAGGGTGACAATGGACGGGATTGAGGGAAGAGAACAGTGTAGTGGAAAGCCTTGGACAATTTTTCCTGACTCTAGATGCCAAATGGCCCATCATATGCTTTTTTAACCTTTGTTTCCATTGTCTGTCAGGGTTGAATTAAGAAGCTACTGGTTTATTCCCACTGTTGATGCTGTAGATAATGCTTTTTTTTTTTTTTTTGCCCAGAAGGGCCCATTTGAAAAATCTGTGACATCAAGAAGATGTAAATGCAGCATCACTTTCTGGGGGGAATTGGTTGGCTGCTTGATGTTAGTTATGGCACAGTAACAGGAAAAGGTTGTGTCTGTGTTTTTAAGTTTTTCTTTATTCTGCTTTTTTGCTGCTATAAGAGTTTTCTGAAATTATATTTTAAACTTTTCATGCACTTTACTGTTTCTAGTCTCAAAATGTGATATTTTTAATAAACAAGAAGTTTTTCATTATGTGAATGAAATTTTAAAAGAAAATAGCCTATATTTGTGTCTCACTAATATATAAAGTACAGGTCAAATTTAAATTATTTAATTAGTTTTAAATATATACAATTTGTCTCCTCTTTCAAACCTGACATCTTAAGCTGTTTTATTAGATTTAAATGATGATGTGTTTCCTTTGGTCATTTTATAACTAATTTCTTCCACAGTAAATTAATCAGGCTACATAAGATAATATTTCCCTAAAGGATAATTTTAGTGGGACTAGGGTTGTGGGATGATGTAATCACATATGAGATTATATCAGAAGGGTAAAGAAATTTAAAGCCTAAATCAATCCCCCTTTAAAAAGTGCCTAGTGATAGAGGCGTGGTTTGTCATCTTTTAAAATTGGAATGCCGTTACAGTTGAATGAAGTTTGATGTAAATAAAATTTTCTTTTAAAAATGTTAACTGAAGTAATGAAATAAAAAGAAAACAACCCTTAAGATGACAGATTTTCCTCAGTGTGCAGGTATCCCTTATTATATACCTCAAGCATTCAACATCTAGCCATGCAAATTGATTACCTGAAGCATAGTACTGGAAAGTAGAATAGCATGAAAAACTTAATTTTGTGGACATTACCTTTTTTTGTAATCAGCTACTGTATGTTCTTGTTTTAAATCTTTCATTTTGGGTGGACTTTCTGCTCTGGAGGTATATGCACTAACGAAACATTTTCCTTTCATATGCGCATGTTAATTAGCAATGTGAGCAATATTTCATACCATACTTCACTCCCAATATTTTTTGAGATGTTTGTATAAAATGGAATTTAAAGTTCACTTATGATTGTATATGAACCACAGAGGAGCCCATTTATTAATAAAAGCTTTTTTAATAGTTAAATGTAGAGGGAAAAAATAAAAAAAAATTGGGAAACATTGTAAACAGCTTAAGTTTATTTTGTGTATGATCGAGGCACTCTGTTGCAGAAGGTGTGTACTTGGGTTCTCTCTGCTTCCAAATGCACTCTTTCAAACCATTCATTATCCTGTGTATTTTTAACGTGGTTTTAGTCAATGTTGGTGTAGTAGCTTTGTTGACGTAGGTAATTTTACTGTGCTTTGGGTGGCGCACAGCCCTGGGGCACGGTAGCCCAGATTTCATGTGCACGTTTCTCTGTAGCCCACTGCTCAAGATCACCTTGTTCCCCTTGTAAAAGGAGTGGTATCTGTTTTGAGCTGCCAATTCAGATGATCAGAAATGCTGCTCTCCTCAGTATTGTCTGTACAATGCATGCCATTTGGAACTTTGGCAGTGAGAAGCCAAAAGGAAGAGGTAAATGACAGAAGGGTGTATATTCAGTGAAAGTAAAATACATGGTCATTTACTTCTTAGTTCTCAGAATATGTTAATAAGCTTTATGCAATGGGGCTGCTGTGTATTTTATCTAAAGGTAAAGGAAATTTGGACATTTGTAGATTGTGATATATATTTTTAATTATTACATATGATTTCTGGTATTTCTCTACAAACTGGAGTGTTCTTTAAATTTATTACAGCAGTGTTGTTTGAGGAAGAGAAAACAGCACTGTTTGCCATTGCAATCCCTGTACAAGTGCATGTCAAGTCACCCACTCTCTCAGGCATCAGTATCCGCCTCATAGCTTTACACAATTGTGATGGAGAACATTGCAGCATCCTCAGGACTGACATCTGGGAAAGGCTCAAATCCACTTACTGCTCCTTGCTTGTCGACTTGTTTTAAAATATTGTGCCTGGTGTCAACTTTTAAGCAACAGCACTGCCTAAAAGCAAGCAGAGAACAGAATCCCAGCACCATTCTATAGGTAACTTTTTAGAATTCAGATAAAATAAATCTGTTCAAGATTTATGATGTTTTATGTAAAAAAGATTTTGTACAATGTAGCTGAATATTTTTGTTTCCTTTCTTTGATGTAAGGCGTGTGAACGTTTGAATCACATGTGAAAGTCAGGTTTGGCACAATGGGTTCTGAGACCAGCTTTTCCCCCCTCCCATTTGCCTTGCTTCCTAGCTTTTTCTTTTCAAATTACTTTTCTGATACTTATAGGCCAATATTTAATTTTACTAATATGCATCCCGTGTGACCGTATTAAAGAAGCCACTGTGTTTTAGTGTTGTAGTTTGCAGAAATACAAAGCTTTGTTTCTTACTTGTCTTCTTATTTTGTATTTAAAGTTATCTATAAGTCACAGAGAAGCAAAGGGGAAAGTTGAAAGATCTAAGGCTCATATCACTTGATTCAGTTCTGGAATTGAGGGATGGTGCATCCAAACTGGAACAAAGGCAACATTGTGTTTCACTTTATAAAGTTACAGCTACCAAGTAATAGAAATGAAAAAGTAAATTTGTATTTGCATTTTAAGGAGTTTCTAAAAATCATTAATGCCATCAGTACTTTCAGTATCAAATAGCAAAAAGTAGAGAAAGCACAAGGAAAAATAGGTTAACCTTGTTCTTTGAAGGAACCAGAAGCTCATTCCTAGGTTTTCTATCAGTAAAAATTGGTGGTGCCCAATACTTACACAACACTTATCTATTCAAGGATCTATATTCTGTGTTCCTGTAGCATTTTAGTAGCTTACTGAAATATGCTGACTGATTAGTAGCTTCAGTCATACACATCTGAAAGATCAGCTTGTGATTTGCTTAGCAGTTCATAAAACCAATAGTTCAGAACAAGCAAAGGCTCTGTGGCACATTTTCAAAAGAGCACTTATCCGTGCTTGTGTTTTGACAAAAACATGAGTTCTTAAATTTGTAAGATTTTCTGTTTCCCATCTGCCCTCCTCAAAAAAAAACATAACTTTCTGATGTATGGAAGAATCCACTTTTCCAAAAGTAGAAAATATGTTTAGAATAACCTTGTGCTTAATTCTTGTTTCCAAAATGATTATGCCTTTCTTTCTGAGTTGCATCATGTTAGTAGAACTCTGTGAATTGTAGATAGACAACCTGAGGAAGTTAGAGAACATTATTCTAAGCCAGGAACTGAAGCTACAATTTTAAATGTGTAGCCAGATGACAACTTTTCTGCTTATGGCTGCCTTGGGTGATTTCAGTAGCGTCCTGAGCACCATACTTGCAGTTCTAATTACCTGGCTTATTTACCAAAGCAGTGATCTATTTAAGAACAGGATGCTAAGACCATCTTTCGGATTACAGAATGACGTAAATATATGTTCTGGTGTCATCATTAAGGGTAGGATGAAAAATAAAGACCTTTATACCAATACTGCAGAATGTTCTGTGTAAGATCCACAGCAAGAAAACAGTTCTTTTCAGGAAGGTAGTAATGAAGGTCATGCATATTTACTTTTTTAACCAAATAATTTCTTGATATGAATTTCTCTGTTATGAACCATAAACTCTACAACGAGAAGGGAACTATCAGGAAAAGCAAGCTTTATTAGTAACTTCTTTTGGCGTACATTTAGTTGGTTAGACTTGGGTTATTCTTGGGACCAAAGGACAATAAGCATATTGAGGCCTCATACAACAAACATGACATTGAAGTAATGGAAATGCTTTTAAGTAAATAATGTTCACTTTCAAAACATGAGAACTGAGCACTTCTATTGAATGTTAATTTTATGACACTGTATTCATAGCGTATTCTCAGCATGTACTGACATTAGAAGTGGTCGTCAGAAATAAATCGCATTATGAAAAGGGTATGCAAATGCTGAGTGATAGGACTCTTGGGGTAGTAGTATGGTGCATTCAACTTTCAGAATCTTCCAGAAGGCATAGTTTGGCACGTAACAGTTATTTTGGTTATAACAATCTTCCTAAATTTTGAAAATTTCTTTGTGTACTTTTAACACTTTCACTTTTAACTCTAATGCTTTAGAATCATGGTGGCCCTTGCTGAAAGAGTCCCTTCTTGCTTGCTTCAGTGTTGTATTAACTTTTAATTACTGATAATACAACTATATTTCCTTTCAAGCTATTAAGTGTTACATGTACCGCATTTGCTTAATTTATCTTAGTTACCTAAGCTCACAAGATTGGCTTGGTATCAATTTGTCAAACAGCAGCTTTGTTTCTTACGGAATAGGGTAGAACCCTGTTTGTCTTTATCTTGATGGAGTAAGTGATGCCGTATCTTGAGCTTGTATTTATTCAGAAACTGCACTGTCCTTTCTTTGTGCTTGTTGCTTAAACTATATCCCCATACCTGTGAAATTCCTGGGCGGTGCTCTGCCAACTTTTGGAGGGGAGAAGTTTGGATGGTTGTGTTACTCCACACTGGATTTGATCTGGAATTGTTCAGTGTTGTGAGTAGCAAGTCTTTTCAACACCAGCAGCACTTGAGAAGTGCACTATGGCATTCGTACAGTTGTCCAAATGCAAGAAATTCTTTCATCTAGGATAAGCTGAGGAATAGCATTCAGTAAGCATATTGAGGCCTCATACAACAAACATGACATTGAAGTAATGGAAATGCTTTTGGGATACTTTTAGGAAACTGAGTGTTTCAATTTGGTTTTGTTATGTCTGGGTTGGGGTGCTGTGGTGTTTTTTATTTGTGTTTTGTTTTGAGAAGTTTGTGTCTGTATCTTTTTCTCTGAGAGGACCACAGCATTGGTCACATTTACCATTGGTCACATTTAATGTGACCATTATTGGTCACATTAATTTGTATCTTTTGTTGTGATTTCTTTTAACCATAAAACAAGTGCCAACTAATTGTCCATGGGACAATCTACTCTCCACTCAATTTACCATTTGAGTAGGAGAGCGTCCAGTTATTTTCATTACCTGGCATTAAGTTGAGTAATCCATTGTTTGCGTTACATTTGAGTCATTGGCCTGTAGTGTCTTTTTGTATCTATTTCTATTGATTGGAAAGCAAAGCACATGAGTAGAAAACTGAGCAAAGTTTTTTTGGCAATCTTTTCCCTAAATACTTGGTGTGGTAGCTATTCCCAAGCAAATTCTACTGTTTCAAATTGTATATTTAGTTTGCCTTTGTCCTGAGAAAAAGCAAAGCACCAAGTCAATTAGTTACTGTGTTCTAATAATCAGTTTAAAATCTAATATATACTTATTTTAATTAGAAGATTTAATGAAGTGCCATGTAACTGTAGCTTGCTAGTGTCTAATGTTTAATAGAGTGGCTCTGTGATGTTCTGATCATTTAACACTCTTGTCATCATCCTGGAGAAAGTGGTTCTACTCTATTGAACACGTTCTCTCTGATACGATCACCAGCTGCTTTATTTTTCTATTTATTACAGTTAAACAGTTGATGAAGTCTGAATCTTGACCAAACTGCTCAGCTGAGACGTGTTGTGTTCACAGTAGACACTGTACAAAACGTGCGTGCAAAAGGACACAGTTGGGTGGTAGTATTTTTTCATTAATGTGAACATTGACTAAACAAAGCAGTCCTGCCTTTTAAATCTTGTGGCAGCTCAGAAGGGAGGTGCTTAAGAACCTTTACTATGTCAGACGACAAAATACTTTTTTCCATTTTGGAGATTGGGTACTGCTCACACATGATGTATAGGGCTAAATATACGCTTGTTTCCTTGCACCTGTGTACTTCCTTTCCCTCCCCCCTTCCTTTCCCTTCTCCTGTAGGCAATAAATGGCCATTTTGCAATTGCATATCTTGTCTTGTTTTTGTTTTTAACTATCTTTGAAGTATATGTTTTTGTGCTCAAAGTGATTACTTGTGCTACATTTTTTGCGGGGTGAACATGACATTCCTACTTAAACAAGTACTTTGGTTAAAATTAATTCTGAAATTTCTTGGTTAATGTGACTTGCTTTGGCTGACGAGATCTGAGGAAAGAGAGATGTATCACTTTGAAGGTGGAACTTAAAGACAATAGGCAGTTTGCCACATTTCCCATTTTTTTGCTTTGGTGATCATGCAAGCATATATTGAGGTGGAACCGCTGGTCTTAAGATCACTGAATGATTTTGATGAACATATGACTTAACCTTGGGCAGACAAGAATGTCACACAAAACTTATAGAAAAGTTCCATTTTTAATTCCATTTTTCCAGGAAGGCTTTGAAGTCCTTTTGTATAGTGTTTGAGAAATAACCCCCAATCTTCATTCCCAAAAGTTTGTTATTCGGGCATAAACTAGTTCAGTCTGACATATTTGGCTACCAGTATTAACCAAACTTAACCACCAAACCTGGTCAGATTTGGAGTAAAACACATTCAAAGTATGACCATGGTGCCCTGGGTGGCGAAACACCCTGCTTTCTTCAAGAGGTCATCTGCTAAACACTTCTATTTATGACATAACCTCAACAATACTGAAGTCTTTCTTAGTGAAAGGGTAGGGTGTTTTATAATTTTAGAAAGTGGGGGAATACGGGAATTCTATTCATGGATAAAAACGAAATTGATGTTTTGGTCATTGTGTGGGGTTGAGAACAAGTTATTCTTGAGGGAAAATAAATTGAGCTGTGTTTTTAGCTTATTAATGAAGTCTTTGGGGCAATATAATGGTATATAGTTTTGCAACAGATCGCCAGCATTTCTGTAGGCTGAAAGCTAGTGCAGGCTGGCTTGTTCTTACCAAGGATGTAATAGGAAGCAGACCCTGAGGACCTCATATTCACAAAGGACTTAGCCATTATGTTGGCCAACCTTCAGGAAATCCTCCCAAACAGATCACCCCTGACGTTGGTTGTGAAAGGCCCAGACCACAATATATTCCCTTAGTAACAGAAAAAGACAGTCCTCGGATAGGACACTCATGGCATTTTCCAATTACCTACATTGGACCTCTGACCTTTGGGCAAAGCATCCAGCTTGGTAAAGAGAGAAACAGCTTATAAAATGATTCTCCCATAAAACAGAGAATAAGATAGTTTGCATGCAGGGTTTATTTGGGGGAGATGATCCCTACAATGCAGCGTGAACTGGAAAGGATGAAATAGGGAAGGAGGGCAAACCAAGTTCAGGGTGCATTTTTGAGCTGATCACTGGGGCAGGGGGAGGGTGATGGACAGGCATTATTCTTTGAGGATATGAAAAGAATATTCCATACTGGTGTTTGTAAGGGAGAAGAGTTATTTACTGGTTCCTGCACCCAGGGTTACTCCTTTTCCCGTCCATGTGTGTACATGTATCATTTTCACAGAGTGAGTTTCTGCAGATGGTGGTAGTGGAGAGAAACA